ATGTTTTACCTGAAGGGGACTGAGATGAACAAATAAAGTGTTTAAAAGAGAGATGTACAATCCACCATAGGTTGCACAAGTATGGATTAATAGAAACGTAAGTTATTATTAGCAATATTAGGTAATAATAATATGGCAATTAACACTTATGTAGTGCTTTTGATTTTCAAGAAGTACTTTCAGTATTTTTTTTTTTATTTGAACTTTCAACAACTCTGTGAGTTAGGCCTTTTTTGTTTCATTTTACATGTAAACAAATTGGGGGTTAGAGAGGTTAGGTATAAGAAAAAAAATTCTGATAATCAGGTGTTATGAATGGAATAAGCTACTTGGTGGCCAGTCCTCAGCACTGAAGAAGTGTAGACAAAGCTGGATGTCCACCTGCCAGAGATGTTCCATAGCATGCAACAGCTCTAGCAGGCAGGAGTTAGGGGGAGATGAGATTGTGCATGCAATGTTTAGAGGATCATAGAATATGAACCCTGACAAGAACCTGAGGCTAATGTAGTCTAACGTTTCAATTTTACAAGTGAGAAAACTGAGGCCCAGAAAGGTCAACCTGCTCAAGCTGATGCGAGCTCTGGAATCTAGCTGTAGGTCAGTGATCTCTAAACAGTCATTCTCAACCGAACAACTGTATGAGAATCCTGGCGAAAGAAGGAAAACGAGAAGAAAAAAATGAGTGGACCCAAATGGTTGACATCATATCCTTAATTATCACGTTTTTTTAATCCATAGGGAGAACGAATGTTCTTGAGAATAAAAGTAGTTGGCAAGTGGTATACGTTTTTTATGGACAATAACATTTATTTTTTTTTAGTATTTACAGGAAACAGAGACTACGAAGAGGTGTAAGACACGGACCTTATACTGCACGCTCTTCCAAGCAATGTGTGGTAGGCAGAAAAATGGGCCCCCAAAGATGTCCACACCCTAATCCTCAGAACCTGTGATTATGAGGCAGGAGAATAGGGTTTGAAGGCAGGAAACCTAAGGCCGATTGGCTCTGACTCCTAGAACTGAATCAAAAGGAAAACCCCACCTATCCACACCCAAGTAACAAAACGATCAGAGGCTACTTCCTTTGCAACTTCCCGCTCCACCCTTTTCTGCGTTGCAGATGAAAAATGAAAGGACCTCCGATTGGTCCCCTCCTGCAACCAATCAGACTGGTTACAGGCCAAGTCTTCGTGTGTAACTTTGTAACTTCACTTCAGCTTCCGATTGGTCATTTTGCATCACCAATCAGACTGGTTGCTGGCCGCTACTTCATTTACATAGGGTTTAAACCAAGTAACCAACAGGAAACCTCTAGAGAGTATTTAAACCCCAGAAAATTCTGTAACCAGGCTCTTGAGTCACTTGCTCGAATCTGCTCAGTCTGTGGAGTGTAATTTATTTTAATAAATCTGTGATTTACTTTCATTGCTTTGTTTGTGCCTTTTGTCCATTTCTTTGTTCAAAACGCCAAGAACCTGGACACCCTCCACCGGTAACGATTATGCTACCTTTAATGGCAAAAGTGACAATGGAGATGTGACCGAGGTTATGGAGCTTCAGAGAAGAAGATTATCCTGTGGGCCCAATCTACTCATCATGTGAGTCCTTAAAGGTGGAGAAACTTTCTAATCTGTGCTCAGAGAGAGAACAGGACACACAGCAATGGCAGAATGGTCACAGAAACACACACCTGATGTGAGAGGACTCAACCAGCCACTGTTGGCTTTGAAGATGGGGGAAACAAAAAGGCTAGCAACCAAAGAATATGGGAGACTTTTATAAGCTGGGAAAGGCAAGAAAACAAATTCTTCCCAGGAACCTCTAGAAAAGAATACAGCCCTGCTAATACCTTGATTTTAACCCACGTAGAATTATATTAACTTCTGATTTACAGAACTGTAAAATAAAAAATTTATATTGTTTAGGCCACTAAGTTTGTGGTAATGTGTTATGTTAGCAATAGAAAACTAATATATAATGTAAAAAGAAACAACATATACATGGAAGCTTACCAATGATCAATATTCTATAGGGTATACCAACCAGGGTTAAACATGAGGTCATATCAGTAGTAATTTCCCATACTCTGTCACTGCCTTTAGTTGGTTGCAGAACCTCTGGTTTTTCTTAAAAGATCCTTTCCCCAACTGTCCCTGAAGATCTTCAAGATAGTAGAGGACCTCATACATTTTCACAATCCCAAACCCTAGCTGCTACATGGAATCCACTATTTTCCTTGTCTTAGATTTCCTCTGGTGATGTCTACTGTTCTCTAAATGCCTGGGAAGCTCCATTTAGATGCCAGGCATTGCTGCGGTGACTCTACCACTGACTCTGTTTATAGCTTTCATCAAAGGGATTCTGATCCTCTGTGCCAGTGCAAGCCTTTCAGGTAAGCCTCAGGCCCATGTGGAGCTACCTCCCACTAGTAGCCACTGCTTGCCCTTTTGTGAAAGTTGAGCTGCATTTCCAGATAAGGTTGGAAGAATTCACCTGCCTCGCTTTTGTGTTATATTCCCTTGAAAACAGTTCCAACGCAAAGCTACCTTGCGTACACAAGGTCTCATATAGTTTTATTGTTGCTGTTGTATTTTTCTGTGAAATAACTCTATCAGTTGTACTTAGAGTCCCCTCTCACTAGGACTCCGTTATTTCATAAGGGTTTGGCCAAAGGACATTGAGATGCAGACACAATGCTGAACCCCAAGCTATTCTTGTTAGTGGAAAATACCTTTGTGCTTTGATTTTCTTTTTTCTTATAATGAATGACTTTCCAGGAATTCCTCCATGCCTTCTGTAAATAGATTCCACCCCACTAAACCAATAGATTCCTTCCTCACAACTGCAGAATATAATATACTAAGTAACACATGGATGGATGGCTTTAACAGCTTAGGGGAGAGCAGGATCTGGCAGTTAGGATTCATGTAGACTAAACTGGAGAAGGAAGAGATCTCCAATGCATATTTCAGTGTGACTTCCCACTACTGTTCAGTACTTAATCTGGACAGAGAGATAATGGGCATTCGACAAATTCCTACAGAACTAATAATGAGGCAGAAATAATGATCTGGTAGAAACACTGGAGCCGAAGCATTGGTGACAATGAGTTGGAGGCTCATAAATTTGAGATGGAGGTATTGAAATTACAAGGGAATGAAAACTTGAAGAGAAAAGAGAAATAATGGATATTCTAACCATCTTATTAATGAGTATAATGTGTGGGACTAGCTATACATATGTACCTCATTGTGTATTTCTGCTGTTTAACTCAGACTATGTGGTACTTAGTTGTTTCCGTGTCTCGGCATTACCATTTCCAGTGTTTTCTCTATCTCGAAATGTTTTTAATGCATAATTTATTTGATTTGCTCAACAAAATTGGAAAGTAAAATTTTGCCTCCCCTTTCTGTACCATATATATATATTTTTAATCCTAGAGGTTATAACCTCTATTACCATAACAGTAACGAGATTTTAAACAAAATTCTGTGCATCAGAATGAGTATCTAGCAATACACTGCAGAAATTTAAAAAATGAGTAAACCACTTTATCTGTCATCAAGGAGCATGCTTGGGGAGGTAGAGTAGAAAATTACATAATACGAAGTTCCAAAGAGTTCATTTGGCTTTGATTTATCACTTATGACATAAAGGATGGAAAGAACAACTAACTGATGAGATGTCTTCCTTTCTCCTTTGGAGGTAAAATTCACATCACATAAAGTCAACCATTAGCCATTTAAAAATGAACAGTTCAGTGGCATTAAGTACAATTCATCCTGTTTTTATAAAGCCCTAAAGGAAATGAAAATGCCAATAGAGAAAGCTCTAGAGAATTGCCATATCTCAATCTCTAAATATTCCACATTACATTGCACCCAAGTTCTTTTTGCTCTAATGAATGTCAGTTTGTGTTTCGTATGCGTTCAATGCTGAACAAACTGGTGACATATTCAAGTTTCCTATGACCCATATTTCTTTAATAGAATTTGTATTAGGTGTTCATATCTAACAGAATTCCTTCAGCTATCTATTAAGTATTTTCTATTATTTTAGTTTCCATGTGGGCAGGTAACACAACTAATTTGTTCACTGTTTCCCCAGAGGAGAACCCAGGACATAATGGGATACACATACACACACACACACATATACATATACATATACATATATATGTGTGTGTGAGTGCGTGCTCTCTAAATGAATGATCAATTACTTAATCTTGGGATTTTAATTCCCATTAATTCCTTATAGGTTCCCCCACGTCTCCGCAGTGATCAGTACTATCTTTTTTTTTTTTTTTTTTTTTCAGACGAAGCCTTGCTCTGTCGCCCAGGCTGCAATGCAGTGGCACAATCTCGGTTCTACGCAATCTCTGCCTCCTGGGTTCAAACTAGTCTCCTGCTTCAGCCTCCTGAGTAGCTGGGATTATAGGCGTCCGCCATCACGCCCGGATAATTTTTGGATTTTTAGTAGAGACGGGGTTTCACCATGTTGGCCAGGCTGGTCTCGATCTCCTGACCACAGGTGATCCACCCGCCTTGGCCTCTCAAAATTCTGGGATTACAGGCGTGAGCCACCACTCCCGGCCCGTCAATATTACCTTGGAACACCCCGGCAAAGCCTTCAGGTGGAGAACGTTCCTGGCGCGGAATAATCCACCTGAATGTGAATCCTGACCATTTTCAGGCGCCAGTGGAGGCCGCTGCTTTGGGACCGGCCGTGAGGTGGCGCTGTTGCCCTGTATCGTGACTCCGTTTTCACCTGGACTGGAGTCTCCGCGATACCTGGCATCTAGCGATCACTGTAGATCAGCAACAAGTCCAGCTTTTACAGTTTCAGCAGAGGTTTCCTGTGGCTCGCGTGTGGCGAGTCCCGGAAACCTCGGAGCCCGCAGACTTCCCTTCGCGGGAGCCCGCCCGAACTCCATCCTTTGCCGGCAGCCACGCCCCGCAGTGGGAAGGAGGGACTGAAAAGCATTTCCTTGAGGCTGGCACACCTTGCCCTACCCGAGCCAGTCATTATTTCCCCTCTGACTGGGCCGGTCCCACCTGAAACCGGAGTGACCACAGGAGGGACACGGTAGTGAACGGGGCATGGGGGGCGGGCGCGGCGGGGAGGGTAAAGAAGGTGGGAGGGGAATGGCGGCGAGGCAGCTGGGGGTGGACTTTGCAGCTGGGGAGGGAGAAGAAGGGAAGAGGCTGGGAGCGGAACGGTTGTGATCTGCTGTTTGTGTTTATGTGAACAAACAGAAATCACCAAGTGAATTAACCTGTGTTTCTTCGGAACAAGCATCTTGTGGGGTTTGGCTTCTGTGTTTTTATATGGTAAGGGACTAAACCTGCCTCAGCAGATTTGGTGCAGAGAGAAACATGAGAAAACCCAGGAATGGGGGGCCTCTGTTTATTCCTGGAGAGGGGGCCATCAGGAGAGGGGGAGGGAAAGAATGAGCTTACAGGAATTACTTGTCAGAGGACTGCATAGCCTTTCAGACCATGGGCTCATTGCTTTCAGCATCAGCTTCTTCGACTGCAAAGCATAAATACGGGAATTACTTTCCAGGGTTGTTGCGGTATTTAAATGAGATATCAATCACCATGATTAAAAAGGGTACAGCGTGATGTGCTATCCCTCGTTGACTAAATCTCTGTTTTCTTTCTTTCTTTTTTGGGGGGTGGGGAGAATGGGGGAGGGAGTCTTGCTCTCTCACCCACGCTGGAGTGCAGTGGCACGATCTCGGCTCACTGCAACCTCCGCCTCCCAGGTCCAAGCGATTATCCTGCCTCAGCCTCCCAAATAGCTGGGATTACAGGCGCCCACCACCACGCCCGGCTAATATTTTTGTATTTTTAGTGTCTTTTTAACGTCTTTTTTCCTCTTTCATTTTTCTCTATCAACCCCTCATCCCCGCTTTGTCTCCCTTCTTTCTTTCTTTCATTTATGCGATTGTTGCTTCCTTCTGTAATGAGTCCTCTCCACATTGGACTTTCTTATACCTATGAGACCACACTTCCTTCCCACTGGGTGGGAAGTAGTTGTGGCAATAAAGGAGTCGAGTTACTATAATGTGCAGCACAGCTCAACTGAAATACACCTGGAAACGAAACTCTGTGCTGTCTACCCGTTTTTTCCCCCCCAGTATACCGGAGTCTCCATTGACAGCTAGCTAGGCGGCAGCTAGGTCTTTCAATGAGACATCATGAAGTATTTGCTTCAATGAAAATCATACGCGTTTTCTTTCAGTGCCTGCATTACTGTATGAGTTTGCTAGGGCTGCTGTAACAAGGTACTACAAACTGCATGGCTTTTGGCACCAGGTACCAGGGACTGATTTTGTGGAAGACAATTTTTTCATAGATGCGGATGAGGTTGGTGGGAGATGGTTTCAGAATGAAACTGTTCCATCTCACGTCATCAGGCATTAGATTCTCATAAAGAGTTCACAACCTATATCCCTCACATGAGCTGTTCACAATAGGGTTCACACTCCTATGAGAATCTAATGCCTGCGGGCACGGTGGCTCACATCTGTAACCCCACCACTTTGGGAGGAGGTGGTGGGTGGATCGTCCTGAGCTCAGGAGTTTGAGACCAGCCTGGGCAACTTGGTGAAACCCGTCTCCACCAAAAATACAAGAGGAAGAGAAAGAAAGAAAATCTAATGTCGTGGCTTATCTGACAGGAGGAGGAGCTCAGGAGGTAATGACAGCAGTGGGGAGTGGCTGTAAATACAGATGAAGCTTTGCTGGCTCACCTGCCTCTCACTTCCTGCTGTGCACCCCGGACCGCTCTGCACCCCGGGTGTTGGTGACCTCTGGCTTAAACAACGAAATGATTGTCTCACAGTTCAGGAGGCTAGCTGTCCAAAGCTAAGGTATTATGAGGGCTGCATCTATTCCAGGCCTCTTTCTTTTGCTTGTAGATGGCTGTCTTCATGTTTATGTGGTATTCTCCCTGTATATATCTGTCTCTGAATTTCCCCCCCACTTTTTTTTTGAGACGGAGTCTCGCTCTGTCGCCCAGACTGGAGTGCAGTGGCGCGATCTCAGCTCACTGTAAGCTCCACCTCCTGGGTTCACACCATTCTCCTGCGTCAGCCTCCTGAGTAGCTGGGACTATAGGCGCCTGCCACCACGCCCGGCTAATTTTTTTTTGTATTTTTGGTAGAGACGGGGTTTCACTGTGTTAGCCAGGATGGTCTCAATCTCCTGACCTCGTGATCCGCCTGCCTCGGCCTCCCAAAGTGCTGGGATTACAGGTGTGAGCCACCGTGCCCGGCCCCTGAATTTCCCCTTTTTATAAGGACACTAGTCTTATTGGATTAGGGTACATCCTAATTACCTCATTTTAATTGATTATCTCTGCACTATCATCTCCCAATAAAGTTACATTATGAGTTCTGGAGGTTAGAATGTCAGCATATTAATTTTGGGAGGGTGTATAGTTCAACCCATTAACAACTAAAGTCTTTAATCATGCACAAGTTAGTTGAGCATTGCATCTATTTCAGTTGTCTCTGGCAGAAACTAATTCCCACCTTTCCCAAACCCTCACAACCAGTCCCAACCAACATGTGCTCCGAAGTTCTGCCAGGAGTTATGTGATTTTGCAGCTCTGTTTTCTTTTAACCTGAGTTTATACATTTCCTGTTGCCACTGTAACAGATTACCACAAAGGTGGTGGCCTAACCCAACATAAAGTTTTATTTTACAGTTCTGGAGGTCAGAAGTAAAAATGGATGGGTAGGTCTCCAGATGGATGGTTCCTTTTGGAGGTTCTAAGGGAGAATCAATTTCCTTGCCTCCTCCAGTCTCTAGAGGCTGCTTACCATCCTTGGCTCATGGCCCCTTCCTCCATCTTCAAAACCAGGAATGGCCGGTCGAGTGTTTCTCATGTCTTTTCATGCTGATGCTCACACTTTTGCCTTTCTCACACTTAAGGATTCTTGTAACTGCACTGAACTCACTGAGTATTCCAGGGTAATCTTTTTATTTTAAGGTCAGTTGATTCATTCCATCTGTAACCTTAATTCCCCTTCGCTATTTCAACACTACTAAAAATCAACATATTCATAGGTTCTGGAGATTAGGACATGGACATCTTTGGGAAGCCATTATTCTGCCTACTATACCTGGGCTTTCCCAACTGGGCATTCTTTATTTTTATTATATGTATATTTAAAATTTATGTTTAATTTAAAAAATTAAAAATTATATATATAATTTATCATATACATGTTTTGAAATATGTGTATATTGTGGAATGGTTAAATTAAGCTAATTAACAGAGTATTATTTCACATATTTTTGTGGTAAGAACACTTAATATCTACTCTCTTAGCAATTTTCGAGAATACAATACATAGTTATTAACTATAGCCACCATGTTGTACAGTAGATCTCTTGACCTTATTCCTCCTTGTTAGGAAGAATCCTTTCATATCCTCTGACATCTTTCCAACCCCTCTAAGTCCCCCAACCTCTGGTAACCACCTTTCTCTTCTCTACTTTTATGAGTTCAACTTTTTTAGATTCTACATATCAGTGAGATCATGGGATATTTTTCTTTCTGTGCCTAGTTTATTTCACTTAACATAATGTCTCCTGGGTTCATCCATGTTGTCAATTTCCATTTTTCAAAAGGCTGAATAATATTTCATTGTGTTTATACTATATGTAGTTATACTTTATTCATTTATCCATTGATGGACATTTACATTGATTCCATCTCTTGGCTATTGTAAACAATGCTGCAATAAACATGGCGGGCAGACAGCAGTATGTCTGAAATCAGACACGCTGATTTCATTTTCTTGCTATCTATACACAGAAGGCAAAACACTGAGCCTTCAGAATAAAAGTAAGATAATATACTCAATAAAGAACACCATATACAAAAGTCAAATCACTATTGGATGTATACCCAATAGTGGGATTGCTGGATCATACAGTAGTTTACTTTTAATTTTTTGAGGAACTTTCCTACTGTTTTCCCTAATGGTTGTACTAATTTACATTCCCACCAACAGTGTGCAAGCGTTCTCCTTTCCCTATATCCTCTCCAACACTTATTTTTCATTTTTTTGGTAATAGCCATTCTAACAGGTATGAGGTAATAGCTCATTGTAGTTTTAACTTGCATTTTCCCTGATGATCAGTGATGTTGAACATTTTTTCACCTATGTGTTGGTCATTTGTGTGTCTTCTTTTGAGAAATGTCTATTCAGGTCCTTTGTCATTTTTAATACAGTTATTTGTTTTCCCCCTATTGTTTTAGTTCCCTATGTATTTTGGATATTAATCACTTACCAGACATGAATCACTTCTCAGATATTTCTCCCATTCCATGGGTTATCTCTTCACTCTGTTGATTTTTTCCTTGGTTGTGCAGACATTTTTTAGTTTGATGTAACCCCCTTTGTCTATTTTTGCTTTTGTTGCCTGTGCTTTTGGGTTTATGTCCAAAAAAACCTCGCCTATCCTAATATGATGTGGAGCTTTTCTCTATGTTCTCTTCTAGTACTTTTAGTGTCAGATCTTACATTTAAGTCTTTAATCCGTTTTGAGTTGATTTTTGTATATGGTGTTCTTTATTGAGTATATTATCTTATTTTTATTCTGAAGGCTCGATGTTTTGCCTGCTGTTTATAGATAGCAAAGAGCTTAAAATATTTTATCTGAAGAAAAGCAACCTGCTTAATGATGGAACAAAAAATGTGTCCCTATTGAGCAGAAACCTGGGTACCATGGACTTGCTATATTTACTGTTAAAAACTACTCCCCATTCCCCCTTGTACTTTTAGTATTGTAGTTTAATTCTTTATGCCCCATTAGTTTCTATAGGTTGTTTTTCTACAAAAATTTCTTGCAGATCCAATGGTATTTTCATGGACGAATTAGCTACTTATTTATTCAACAATCATATGAATTCCGATATATGCCAGACACTGCTTTTGGTGCTAGGGATACAGCAGTGAACAAAATAACTGGTCCCTAAATTTTTATTCTCATGAAGGTTTCATGCTTTTTCTTCTTACTTTGCCACTTCATTTTTGTCCTCCCCACCAGCCCAGGCTCAGCCAGTCTCCAGTTCTTCAACATGCTTTCTGAATTTAGATGTAGCTACTGTTCTGTGCCTACTTCTGGCCTGTGCTAATGAGGGACCTAAAGAAGCTGACTGTGCTCTCCAGGAAATTACAGTCTTGTTGGGAAGAAACAGATAATAATAGGCAAACTGGTTAAGTACTGAATAAGTAGGTTGGGTATTAGCATATCATGTCTTGGCATAGTTTCTAACTGGAGAAAGTGAAAGTAGAAGGGAATGAATATGCACAAAGGTAAAGAAGCTAATTATGGCCGGCCGGGCGCAGTGGCTCACGCCTGTAATCCCAGCACTTTGGGACACTGAGGCAGGCGGATCACCTGAGGTCAGGAGTTTGAGAGCAGCTTTGCCAACATAGTGAAACCCCATCTCTACTAAATATACAAAAAAAAAAAAAAAAATTAGCCAGGCATGGTGGCAGCTGCCTGTAATCCCAGCTACTCGGGAGGCTGAGGCAGGAGATTAGCTTGAACCTGGGAGGCGGAGGTTGCAGTAAGCCGAGATCGTGCCACTGCACTCCAGCCTAGGCAACAAGAGTGAAACTCTGTCAAAAAAAAAAAAAAAAGAAGCAGCAGCAGCAGCAGCAGCAGCAGCTAATGACACAGACATCAGTGTAGAGTGGACAGAGTCCTCTCTCAGTCCAGGGGATCTGAAATCTGTTTTAAGCTCTGTCTTTGTGAGCAAACAACAAGGCACCTACCTCAGGGGTCCTTAGTTGTTTGATTATTATTTTTATTCCTTTTAAAAATGAAGGGTAGAGGTTGACTGGGAAATTGCTGGAGATTCTTCCAGGTTTAAAAAACAAACAAAAAAAGTCTTTTATTTTTGAACTTCGCAGAATTTCTTTGAGATTTCTAACCAGAATAATAAGACAGTTTAGAGTTCAGAGGAGATAGTAACCTCTGGATAGGGAAAAAATAATGGGGATGGAGTAAGGGGTTTCTATCCATCCGTTGGCTTAAGACCTCATTTCCTGCAGAACCCTCCTCAGCCCAGGTGGCCTTCTTCACTTGCTTTTTCTCCCTATACCTTCTGCTGAATTGGGCAGTTAGAGTTCAGCCCTATCATATTGTGAATACTACCTCCTAAGGGTGAGTCTTCAGGAAGCACGAACATTTCCTGATGCTCACTCTTTCCTTAGCCCCCAGCAGTCTAGGTCGTATCCAAGCTTCTGAGTATTATGTGCTTCCGTGAAAGCCATCTCAATCAGTTTTCTCATATTTCTCTTTCACAATAACCCTTCTTGGCATAGTGACAACAAGGAGTATCAACAGTTAATTTGTTTTGTTTTGTTTTTTGAGATGGAGTCTCACTCTGTTGCCCAGGCTGGAGTGCAGTGGGATGATCACAGCTTGCTGCAGCCTTGACCTCTCAGGCTCAAGTGATCCTCCCATCTCAACCTCCCCAGTGGCTGGGACTATAGGCGTGTGCCACCACGTCCAGCTAATTTTTGTATTTTTTTTTTTTAAGGGACAGGGTCTTGCTGAAGACCCTTGCTAACTAGGCTGGCCTGGAACTCCTGGCCTCAAGTGATCCTCATGCCTTCATCTTCCAAAATGCTGGGATTACAGAAGTGAGCCGTGGAGGCCAGCTGACCGCTAATTCTTAACAGTTGCCATGGTCAGAGCAAATTGAAGGTAGTGTTTTAACTTTTATGACCCAAAATTTATACTTTTATGCTTTAAATTACTGGCCAAAATAAAAAATGAAAAGGAAACCTGCTTTAGTTTTTTTCCTCTGTAGCTGTTAACCTTTTATAACCTCAATAACTAGCCGCATCTTTATACATTTAAGTATATTTTCAAAAATTGTTAGATAACAATATATAGAAATATGATAGTTTTAGAATATTGATCTAAATTAAAAGTATTATATGTATATAATTCTAGGCTAAGTTAGAATTCTAGTAAGGACACAGTAGTGGATGCCAAAGGTTTAAGGGAAAAGAATGTATTTCAAACTATACATTGTGGTTATAGAAAAATCTTAGTAATACACATGTGTATTAGTCCTTTCTCACACTGCTATAAATTATCCAAGACTGGGTAATTTATAAAGAAAAGAGGTTTAATTGACTCATAGTTCCTCATGGCTGGGGAGGCCTCCGGAAACTTATAACCATGGCAGAAGAGGAAGCAGGCACGTCTTACATAGTGGCAGGCGAGAGAAAGCGTGTGAAGGCAACAAAGGGGGAAGAGCCCCTTATAAAACCATCAGATCTCGTGAGAACTTATGCGCTGTCACGAGAACAGCATGGAGGAAACCACCCCCATGATCCAATCACCCCCCACCAGGTCCCTCCCTGGACATGGGGGGATTATGGGGATTACAATTTGAGGTGAGATCTGGGTGAAGACATAGAGCCAAACCATATCAACATGTAATATCCACATATGAAGTCAGATGCCTTTCTGGAAAAAGCCTTGAAATGATTGGTTTTAGTTGCACACTCAGACATTGAATGATTTAACCAGATGTACTGTGTTGTGGGAGATGAATGCAGGGTTTGTGTTGGACAACGTTAGGGGACAGGATTATTTTATATTCATATTATGCTACCAAATAAGTGGTGAAAAATACTTGCCAAAGGTGCTAATTTGATGTTTAGAGAAGTTGATCTCAAGTACTTTTTTTTTCTGACAATAGTCAGCTATCAGGACCAATTGTATGTCAAGTCACCCCTAGTTTGTGTCAGTGAAAAAAGGCTTAGAATCAACTTCTCCAAAGTCTCTGTTAAGTCAGATCAGGCTGGCTTCGCCTAGACAGGAAAAGCTCCTGGTTGACCCTCATCTATGAAAATTAGCTGGACATGGTGGTGGACGCCTGTAGTCCCAGCTACTGGAGAGGTTAAGATGGGAGGATCACTTGAGCCTGAGAGGTGAAGGCTGCAGCTCTTTGACACCTCTTCATCCGGGGCCCAAATTTAGTACCACTTCCGACCAGTTAGACGCTATAACAGCAAGAAAGGACTTGTTTTAGTAGTAGAATTAACAGGTTTGGCTTATGGTTCAAGGAAGGAGGAGAGAGGAAACTGGAATGCTGAAAATTGATCCTGACCTCCTTGTGGTCAGATTTATTCTATAAGACTTATTCTCCAATTCCACAAATCCAGCCCATCTGATGTGAAATCACATGGCTTCTCTGACTCCTACTTCTGTGGTCTTTCCTCACAGGGCTCAAGGCCTGACTCCTTTAACTTTCCTTGGCGCTGATATCTTAGTATAAGTTAGAGCAAGTTCTGGCTAAGGAAGAAAAAGGAAGCAGAGTATTAATTAGAATATTCTAAAGCCCCATCAATGAAAACACAACTGAGATATAAATATTGTAGCCTTCATGTATCTAGTAGAGATTGGCAGAGGCTAGTCCAGATACATGTGCATCCCAAAGGCCCAGAAGAAACGGTGAAAGTGTATGCACGTTGTGAATTGCAAGGGCCAGGGTCTTCTTCCTCATTCTCATCCCTACAAAACTCAACTGAAAAAAATAGATGGAATATCCCAGTCAGCCGTATGAAGGGTGGGAAATTGTAGTGGGAAGAGCACCAGATGGAGATGCCAACACACAATGCTTAGGTGCTAATTAACTATTGGGAGGTATCTGAACTCTGTGCCTTAGTTCCCCCACCAGTATATTTGGAAGTTAGGTTTTTGTTGTTGCTTTCAAAGCACCCTTCTTATTGTACACATAGGGCATTCTGTGGCATTTGTGAAGCATGTGCTGTATTTCATAGTGTATTTGTCAAAGAGATCAAGAAATAGACAACAGGGTTGCTGTTCTTATGTTTTTTGTTTCTATAACAGGGAGGTGTGATTATAGTGGTACAGAAGGCATGGGATGGTTACCTCATTTACAGTGTGTGAACGGCATGGCTTTCTGATACTGAGAGTTGAACCTGCTGTGTTTGCATTCTTTCTTGAAGCCCAGGCGGTTCCCATAACCCCAAATGACCTTGATTTCACTCTCTGTCTCTTTTCCTCACCCATGTTTCATACTTAGAGACAGTCTAATAATGGATTCATGATTGGAAGGTGCCACATCTGATTAGATCTCTGATTCATTTTCTGACTTATGCAAGTCACCTTTTCATTTAGTTTCCACATGCAGTATGAAGTTGGTAAAATATCCACAAATTATTGTGAAATGGTTTTCTTTTACAAAAATGGGAATAATTTTGAAAAATATTCCAGTTTTGCAGCATTAGAAAAAAAGAAATGTAGGTAAACCAAATGTGATTTAAAACTACAATTATAATCTCCCCTCCCACACCAAAATCATTTTTTCTAAGTCTCCTTTTTTGGGGGGCTGACATTAAAATGAACTATTCTTAATTCGTTAAGTTAACATTTACTAGGAAATAGAATCAGGCTCACTTGAACTAAGGTCATAAAAGTGTGACCTTAGGATATCTACAAACAGATGGACAACAAAAATTTGACAGTATCAACAAGACATAACTAGTGACAGGTTGTGGGTTTATAAATATTCAGATAGTGTGTGAGATAGATTGCTCACAAAAAGAAGTTCATTGATCCTTGGCATAGAACTCTCTGTTCTGTGCTAGATGTACTAGCATCTTTACACCTGAGTTTAGGGTTTAGCGGGGATATTGGGGGCTGCATCTTTCTGGGCTTTTACTTAAATCTCAATCAGACATATTTTTGGTGCCTAGGGAGCGGTGGTCTCTGTAGGAGGATGGATAAATAGAAGTATTTATGTTAATAGGAAGTTAGGGATGCAGATTCTTTGGACACACTCTCTCGTCCCTGCAATTTATGACAACCTGAGAAATTTAGATCATCCCCTGTGGTCTGTCAGGGGAAAATAAGCTGGGTTCTGACATCAAGACAACCATAGAATGTAGTGCCCTATAGTCTGTCTACTTATCCCAGGTATGAGAAGGATCAATAGTGGCATTGTATTACACCATGCTACTTCACATAGAATGTGTTTCTGGCCAGTCTCTGGGAGGCATTTGTCGCCCAACCTGTCCTAGAACAGATTCTTCCAGACACAGAACATTCTGTGGTCTCACCAAATCACACACAAATTCTGGTTTAACCTTTAGAGGCCATGGAACTATAAAGTTTATTATCAACAAATGTTACTTGTACACCAAAAACTACAAAATATCCCAAATATCCTTGAAAGAAGCTAAAGAAGACTTAAATGAATGGAAAGACATATTGTTTTCTTCAATGGGATGACTTAATACTGTTAAGATAGTGGTACTCCCCAAACTGATCTACATACTCAACATAATCGCTATCAAAATTCCAGCCGTTTTTGTTTTTGTTTTTTTTCCGAAATGGTCAAAGTGATTCTAAAATTTATGAGAACACAAGGGACTCAGAATAGCCAAAACAGTCTTGAAAAAGAACAAAGTTGGAGGAATCACACAATGAATTTTTTTTTTTTTTTTGAGAGGGAGTCTCGCTCTGTCGCCCAGGCTGGAGTGCAGTGGCCCGATCTCAGCTCACTGCAAGCTCTGCCTCCCGGGTTCACGCCATTCTCCTGCTTCAGCCTCGCGAGTAACTGGGACTACAGGCACCTGCCACTGTGCCCGGCTCATTCTGTATTTTTAGTAGAGATGGGGTTTCACTGTGGTCTGGATCTCCTAACCTCGTGATCCGCCCGCCTCGGCCTCCCAAAATGCTGGGATTACAGGGGTGAGCCACGGCGCCCAGCCACACTTAATGATATTAAAACTTATGACAAATCTACAGTAATCAAGACTGCGTGGGCTGTGTGCTGTGGCACGCGCCAGTAATCCCAGCTACTTGTGAGGCTGAGGCAGAGGGAATCCCTTGAGTCCAGAGCTTGAGGATGCAATGAGCTCTGATCACACCATTGCACTCCAGCCTGGGGGACAAAGGGAGACATTTTCTCTAATAATAATAAGGCTGAAAAAGACTATCTTTAATAATAACAAAGAGCAGAAAACGGGTGTTTTTAACAAATTGTGCTGGGACAACTGGATATTCACATGCAAAAGAATGAAGTTGGACCTTGACCTCTAACTCAAAATGAACCAAAGGCCTGAAGGTAAGAACTAAAACTCTGAAATTATTAGGAAAAGCGTAAGTGTAAATCTTTGTGATATTGGTTGGGCAATGGTTTCTTAAACACACATCAAAAGCACTAGCAATCAAACACAAAATTGTCAAAATTAGAAGCTATCATGCTTCAAAGGACATTATCAAAAGTGAAAAGACAACATAACAGCATGGAAGAAAATATTGCATATGATATATCTAATAAGGGTTTAGTTTCTGGAATATATACTGGGTACTTATACAATAAAAAGACAAATTGCCCAACCAAAAAAAATGGTAAAGGAGTTGAATGTACATTTCTTCAAAGGAGATATACAAATGGCCAACGAGCATATGAGAAGATGCTCAGCATCAAAATGCAAATCAAAACCACAATGAGATATCATTTCACAGCAACTAGTTGGGCTACAGTAAAAAAGACAAAAAGCAAGAAGTGTTTGTTAAGGATGTGGAGACACTGGACTCCTTATAAATTACTGGTGGGAGTATAAAGCGATGCAGTCACTTTAAAAGACAGTTGTCAGTTGCTCAAAATTTAAACATAGAGTTACCATGTCAGCAATTTCACTCCTACATATATACCA